TTTTCGTTGTAGGGGGAGCAGAAAAGTGGGAATGGCTTTCATGCATAAAAATTTTTTCACACTAGGGGTATTTTCGCCCATGTAGGTTTTGTTGTAGAGGAGTTTCACTGTAGTCACCCTTATGTTTGAACATGGTGTCCGTTATGGACAGTCTGTGACAAGCAGAGAAGTCCAGTAATAAAACGCTACTTGGGTTCTGATCATGGGGGCCGTTACTCCCAATCACGCCCTTCCAGGTTTCACCGTCATTGCCCACATGAGCATTGAAGTCCCCCAGCAGTATATATTAAAATGTAGTACGCTCAACTTCATCTTGTTGTTTTCATATTTTTGTGAGGCACGAATCCTACATATTTTCCATGTTATGGTCGATTGTATTCAAATGTAATTTCCTAATTTCCTGTACAAGCACTATTTTGAAACATAGTTAATTTTGAAACCCATTCATGAGAAATAATTGACGATCCACTTTCATGAAATATGTAGATGAGTAAATAATTAAATAAAGTAATTCCTAAATAGAATTTATAATTTTGTTTAGGACCTCTCTCAAAATGTTCCTCTTTTTGACAGACAGGCAGACATAAAAACAGCGCTTTCTCTGGCTGTGTAAAGAAATAGCCCGATCAAAGTAATCCATGAAGAAACACTTGATTGACAACCTGTTGTAACTTTAATCAAACGTAACCTGAGTTGGCTGTTGCCATGCAGGGGTTGTCCCGAATTTCCCAATTGCCATCCTGCCCCTGGATACAGCTTGGTGACAGCCAGCTGGATCTAACCTTATCCATGGAAATTTATTTATTTATTGTGAATGCGACATGGCATTTTGAATTGACTCTTACCTTGTTGCTCGTTGTGCGGATGCTCAAGCCATTTTTGTTTCTGTTCATAAACCCAGGTCACAAGAGGTCTCAGTTTGGGAGGGGACAGATCATCACAATAGGGGATTGGTGGAATCCATCGGCCAGCCACAATGATCATCCAACCAGGGTGTTGTGGGCAGGATCAGACCCCCGATCAGATGGATGTGCGATGGGATTTTAGACTGCTTCCGGTAACTAGTTAGTAAACAATTAATTCAGCCACTGAAACATGCTAATTTCAGTTCGATTTATGCCAATTTCACACTGCTGGTGAATTACAGCATCAGAGGCAGTAAACAGTAGCGGTACGATTGAATATACCTCAGTAAACTTCTGATTCTGCTACTACACTCAGCTTCAACTCCACTTCCAACATCAGTACCTTACACACAAGACGGCGAGATGGAAAACAGCAGTGAATATGCTTAGCTGGCCTGTATAAAAGAGGTTAGCGATTAAAAATCACAGATGCTTGCTCTTTGGTGACGTTTTAGACTACCAGCTGAGAATTGGAGCCATGAATTACGATTTGGTGTTTGCCATTGTCACAATGCAGACAATTTATGGGTACCCACAGTCTAACTGTATTACAGGTTTGTTTTTATGTGTGAAAAATGTCTTGAAACTTTATTTAAAAATAAATGTCACCTGATGAGCTTCTTTTCTATTGAGTGCTATAGTGTGTAATGTAAAACAGAACTGATTATTTCAATAAACACATCAGAGTTTCACCAAACATGTTTTATTGGCGTAAATTTAATTTGTGATTTTGACCTAGTCCGCAAACTGGAAACGACTGGAATTACCTATCCATCCAATATCTACTGCTAGTTACATCCATCCATCCATTTTCTGATCTGCTTGTCTTCATAAGGGCATGCTGGAGCATATCTCAGCCGTCTTGGGGCAGTAGGTGGGGTACAGCCTGAACTGGCTGCCAGCCAATCCCAGGGCACACAGAGACAAACAACCAACCATTCACACTCACTTGACTGCCATGCAGGCTTTTGTAATGTGGGAGGAAACCGAAGTACCCGTAGAAAACCCACACAGGCACGGGGAAAAATTCAAACTCCACACAGGAAGGCCAGAGTCGGAATGGAACTCTGCACCTCTGCACTGTGAGGCAGACGTGCTAACCAGTCGACCGGGCTGCCCCAGCTAGTTACAGAAAATCTGAATCCAATAACAGACTAGACATGCTGATCACCAGTCACAGAGAACATAGTGTAGACAACTCACATTCACAACTGTGGTCATTGAGCAGCTATAGATCTTATGACGGCTTCATCAGTATCAGTGAATCCATGCAATCAACTATTCAAAGTGGAAATTTTGTGGCAGGGTGGCCACACATGTGCTTCAAAGTTGAGAGGTTCTGGGTTCAAGTCTCACCTCAGACCTTTCTGTGTGGAGTTTGCTTATTGTTGCCTGTTTCCTCTTTCTCTACATTCCAAAAGTATGCATATTATTGTCTGTTAATTTAAGACTGGGCCCTGTTTTCATACTCGGAATAAGTCTAGCCCAAAGTGCAGCCTGACGGTGAGTGTGGGTGAAGTTTTATTTCTTTTAGCATTTTTGTAGTTGGACGTAGTTTTGTGGGTCCAAGCACAACTGACTTGATTCCCGGGCAATCGAAACAGCTCCCCTCATTCCTTTTCAATTCAACACAAGAGAGGTATGCAGTCTACATGGCGAAAGCATAATGGCCTCGCTGGAGTCCGTGCATGAGATCAGCACGTACAAACTACTCATGATGAACTGCAAGATCTGCACTTGTGGATTATGTAAAGTTGTTGGAGAATGCCTTCAACCTCCCTTCATGCATCTGTGTGTGACAACCCCAAGGTGTCTGGGTCCACAAGACAGACAGACAGACACACACACACACACACACACACACACACACACACACACACACACACACACACACACACACACACACACACACACACGCACACACACAAACACACACACACACACACACACACACACACACACACACACACACACAAAATTGTCCATTGGTATTATTTTGAGTGTGAATGTCTGTTAGTCTTTTTGTGACCTGCGATGCCCCCATATCACTGAATAGAATGAGCAGTGGAAAATGGAAGGAATCCATTTAAAGTGGTTCCTGAATGAGTGGAAATTTATTTTTTAATGCTGTTGTCCATTTCTTTCAAACTAATCTGATCTCATTCTCATGTATTCAGTAATTGTTGACAGATTTTATGACATGTCATTCATTGTGTTGAAAGGATCAGAAATGCACCTCCGACTGCGGCCACATGAAAATGGGAAGATTTACCATACCATTTTCTTTTTTTCATGTTTCTGTCAACGTTGATTACATTTTCTTCATCTTTTGAAATATGAGGTGAGTACCGTGAATTAGACCTGAACTTTACAGCTTAGGCTGGCCTGGTGGTCGAGTGGTTAGCGTGTCAACCTCACAATGCAGAGGTCGTGGGTTCGATCCCGGCTCCGGCCTTCCTGTGTGGAGTTTGCATGTTCTCCCCGTGCCTGCGTGGGTTTTCTTAGGGTTGGGTTTCCTCCCACATGGCAGGATGATTGAACACTCTAAATTGTCCCTTGGTGTGAGTGTGAGTGCCGATGATTGTTTGTCTCTGTGTGCCCTGCGATTGGCTGGCAACCAGTTCAGGGTGTCCCCGCCTACTGCCCGAAGACAGGTGGGATACAGTCCAGCACGCTTGCGGCCCTTGTGGGGATAAAGTGGATCGGAAAATGGATGAATGGATTTCATCTTATTTTCACGATATCCCGATTTTCCACTCCAAATACACACACAATTCAGCTTTTTATATTTTGCAACAGTGAGGGAGCAGAGCAACTCAATATGAACCAGGAGCATAGCCAGAAAATTTGCAGGTGGTGGCCAGAGTGATACACCTTTAGTGGGGGGTGGCCAAATATACCGCACATGCGTGCATCATTCTTCATCATACCGTCCACAGTTAGGGTTTTATTAAATCAAATTCACATATCTCCAGATGAATGGCCATTACACTCAGAATCAAGCAGGAAGAAGTCCAAGTAAAAAGCAACATTTTGTTGAGCTTAATTTCGGAGACGGGACTCGTTCAGAATTGTGTCTATGTTGATGTTAAAATACTTATTCCTTTATTATGTGTTTACAAACACCCCTATAGAATTCATTTTGTGATTTCCATGCTGGATTTTCTGTTTTGGTGCATTTTTTTAAAATGGTCTTGGTGCCATTAAAGGTATCATTAATTTACGTTTTTCTGAGGCGGTCTTTGAACACCCCTTGAGCCGAATTCAGAAGAGAAGGTATCTTATGGAAGACAAGCTTGTATTCGTTTGGGAGTTTAAAAAAAAATGAATAAAGTGTACGCTTAAAAGACAACACAAGCTCTTTATGTCTCGGAGCTGCAAAATTAATGTTGTAGATAATGTCATGTGTCATTGTCAATGTCATTTTCTTTGCCATGGCTTTGCTTTTGCCAATCAGAGTGATCAATGGCCACCGACGGCTGACCGCATTTTGCATACTCCAATCAACTGTTCATTCATTCATTCAAATTATTTTCAAAAAGCACAATCACACAAAAATATCTTAATTCGTCACAATTCTAACCATTTTTACATAGTTTTGTTCCTGATTGTATGTGCTATCATTTGCTCTTTTTTAACTTGTTTGTGCAGTTTGACCGATGATTTTCTTTTTTGAATGTCTGGAACAATACATTGTGACTTTTGAAGCGCCATTGAGCAAAGAAAAAAAAATATTCATGAAGTGCGCATCAAACTGTGACCACTCTATCGAACACAGCCCCATAATATCAATGATGCTGGCTTTTGAACTTTGCGTCCATAGCAGTCTGGATGGTTCTATTCCTCCTAGGCCCAGAGGACAGTGTTTACAAGTTCTAAACACAATCTGAAATGTGGACTCGTCAGACCACAGAACACTTTTCCACTTTGTATTAGTCCATCCTAGATGAGCTGGTGGCGTTTCTGAGTGCTGTTGATAAAAGATCCCTTCTCCCTGTCATTTCCTTGCCACAGTAACCACAGTCACAACCCTTCTGCACAGATGTGCTGGTTTGCACCTGCCTTTGTGTCTCATTGTTTAAAAAGCAAAAATCAGCCACTGCAATCTATCTCAGGTTTGATAAATCCCTTTTTAGATCCTTAATTGTCCTGTTTACACCTCCTCCTCTCAAAATGCGCAAAATGAAATGTGAAAAAATTTCCCTGTTTGGAACACGCAATCCTGGGTGCGTTAGTCATTGAACTTCTACATCTATTTGCATGAACAATCGAGCATTTTTTTTTTTTTTTTTGTGCAACCGATTGCATTTGAACACGTGCGGCCATCACGTCACCACCTTGAAAGCAGAGGATACTGGCTGCTGAGCTAAAAGCCCAGCCCGCCAGCTCAGCGGCCAGTATCTTCTTTGAAGGATCCAAAGAGTGTTTGACCTCATTTACATGTGCACACTCATACTGATAATAAATCAGGCTAAAAATTAATCTTAATTGTCACAGTTAAAAATGATCGTTCACATGCGTTTGCACGCGTACATTCGGGTCTATTTTATTTTATTTTTTTCAAAAATCTGCCTGTGTGGAAACTCTGGTTGCAGTTTCGTGTGGAAAAACTTGGCTTCCATGTTGATCTACTTACATCTCCAAACTCATGTTTTGTTTTTTATCACAAGGTTGTATAACAAGCCATTTGTTCTGTTCCACTGGTTAATCACCCCGATTAATGGGGCTTCTTACAGCAGCATGTTGGGCTTCCATATTAGTGTGCGGTTTATCAGGATGTGTGGTGCATTCCACTCAGATTATGAGGCAACTGTAAACCACCCCTTTCGACCTCTGTAAAGCATAACTGCCCACCATGAGTTTTTCAGCTTCCTGACGTGCTGATATTAGAAGTCATGTCGTGCTCCTTTGCCCTCCAGAGACCTACTGACAAATTGTGCAACTCTGATCGAGAGGGTTAGTCAGTTTTCATGATCTCAAATTGTCACGAACATAAAAGAACATGATGGTAGAAGCTGGTGCCGACAATTGGAATGTTTGGAAAATGGTGCAAAAAAATGAGTTAAAGCCAAATAAAAATCAACAAGTTTTCATACTTCCAATCATATGCTCCATTGCAGCTCTTGGTCAGCTTGTTTCCTCTGTGTGTGTGTGTGTGTGTGTGTGTTTGTGTGTGTGTGTGTGTGTGTGTGTGTGTGTGTGTGTGTGTGTGTGTGTGTGTGTGTGTGTGTGTGTGTGTGTTTCCTGGCCCTATGTTGTTCAGTAGTAGAAGTGCCTCTCTAAAGGGAAGGATTATCTGTCCAACTCACAGGCTCTCACCACGTATGCTTGCTTCCTGCCACCACAGCCAGCTGTTCGGACCGATTCTTACATTCTTTCTCCACTCGCTTCCTTGTCCACTCCAATTTTTGTCCTCTTCCTTGCAGTTGTGGGTTTTTGTTTATTCTTAATTTTTTTTTTTTTTGATAGCCGAGTGATGTGTTGTTCAGTGGGCTTCGCCAGGTCTTTGGGTCTGGCTCTATTACCTCTGGCCCTCTGTTGTATCCTGGCCAATCTGCTCCTCTTGTTTCCTATGGGAGAAATGACATACATCGAGCAAGGGCGACTGGCCAGCTACATCTGGTACTTTGGTGGACTGGGTGGTGGAGGACTGCTGGTAAGTGGAAAACAACAAAAAGAAAACAAGCATGACTTCTTTCGAAGTCATTCTGTATATGACACAATCATTGGAACATGAACAAGGAACCATATTTGGAAGTTTGATTTTCAGCATTTCAACGTGTGTTACAAATGACACCAATTTTGAAATGCAACTACTACAGATGTTTTGTTACATGTCATATAGGTTGCTGTGATAAAATTTTCAGTTTAACAGCGGCGCTGTTAAACAACACCAAAACTTCATATTGGTTTTCGGTCAATTTTAGAAAAAAAAAAAAAAAGAAAACAGAATGGTTGACGGATTAAACAGATATAATTGGTGCCAGAGTCAAATATTGTAGTCATAGGCAAATAGGTCGAAGGCTCCATGATTCATCTCTACATCAGAATAAAAACGAGACTTTACACAGTGGGATGGGATCAGCAGATATTTTGCATTTGATGCAAAATCTGTGATCGATTGCAATGTCATAAATTGCCAATTGAACAATGACATCATTAATGGGCTCCCCCAAATAAGACATGACTCAACTCAACATTATTTATGCAGCAGTGCTTTCACATCCAGCTGCAGCTGGAACAAAGCACCTTACAAAACACGTGTGATAAAACTTTAACAAGAATACAAACACAATTACACAATCCGGTTCACTCCAGGGATGTTCTGTGCTGCCATCATTAATAATCGAAGGTTTCTCAGCATGTACTGTACAGGTAAAAATGTCGATTTTCCCGCAATATCTTTAAATATTTTTATTTTTGGGCTGGGCGGGTTCTTCCCCCTCCCATTTTCTGCGTATTGAATGTTAATCAGCATTTTTAGGGGAATGTTTAGGTTTTAATTGTTATTACTTTTTCCCAGTGCACTTCAGTGAGCGTCATTTTGATGCAATTTTTGTTTATTCGTGGGCCAAACCCAATCCCCGCAAATAGCGAGGGTCAACTGTACGTACAGCAAACAAATCAGTTGTTTTAATAGAGTGGTCCATCTTCAGATCGGTGATTATCATTTGTTTTTTTTTGTTTGTTTGTTTTTTGTTTTTTAACTCGCTGATGGGTGATCGACTCCAAAATCCTGAAAGCCTAATAAATACAAGCTACTTTCTTTGAAACCTGGCTCTGACCTGCATACAGCATAAACAAAGTTTTCACATCCAAGCAACTTGACTGCTCAAAAGTGACAGCTACATGAAATGCCGCATTCACTGAAAAAAAAAAATCTTTGCAATCTTTGCAAAAAAACCCAAAAAAACAAGCAAGCGGCGATGGGATACATTATTGAGGGGACATTCTTGAAACCGATCCAATTTTTATTATGGACATTATTTTAATTTATTTCTTGTTTATTCAATCATATTTAGACATGCAAAAGTTGTTTTTGGCATCATTTGGTCAGCATGTGTTTACTTTTGTCCCCTGAGAACAGTGAGGTTGTGTGTGAATAAACAGTTCTGATCTGTGGGGTTTATGCTCCCACTGAGCCGGTCCCTTTGTTTGGGTTTAAGGAGAGAAACAGATGAGCGCTTATATTTTTCCCGCACAAGACTTACATTGTTGAATCGTCGATTGAGCTGATTTTTCATTTTCAAAATCTGAATCAGTTACTTTCATCTTTGACAGTGTTTTTTGTGTTTTTTTTTTCTTTCTTTCAATCTCTGTAACTGACTGTTTCGTGATTGCACGTTCGTGCGTTTGTGTGTGCTTGGGAAAAAGGGAGACCTTGGGAACTTCACTCCCACTTTTAGGATGTGACTGAACTTCCTGTGAGCACTGAGACAACACTCGGCAGTCAGGGAACGTTGGAAAACTAAAAAGAATATGAAATGATTATCATTCATCAATTGGGAAAGATTGGGTCGCCACAAGCGCTCTACCTCATCCACACTGGATCCCACCTTATTTTTGTGATCTGAAGTATATAGTTGAAGAATTACGGTATTCTGGCATGTATGGCACATAACAACTTTATTTTCCTGTTCTCTGTTAGATGCTCGTTCCTGCTGTAACCTTCATCACTTTGGGAAAATGGAGTTGCTGCTGGAACCAGAGCCTGATGGTAAGACTAAACAACACTTCTCACGTTATTATTGTACATCACCAATATTGAAATGGAATGTGTTTTGCATGGTCCTCTCGCCTCAAAGCACAACACGTACAGTTGAAGGGCTGTCTCAACTACGGTATTACACCCTGCCCTTTGCTAGGCGGTGTGCTAATGCTAATCCAACCATGATGATTAAACAAGGGTCCCTTTGTTTGTTAACACGCAACATAGTGAGCTTGGCACACACCAGTCAAGCCACATCCGCAGCTGCTGTTTGTGTGTGTGTGTGTGTGTGTGTGTGTGTGTGTGTGTGTGTGTGTGTGTGTGTGTGTGTGTGTGTGTGTGTGTGTGTGCGTGTGTCTGTGTGTTTGTGTGTGTGTGTCAAGAGCAGCTGCCTCGCTTCAATTTGTTTCATAATAAAAGAATCCTATTCAACATTGAGGAAATAACATCACGCCTCTGCGTATTTCTAAACTGAACAAGGGCACCAATTCATGGATACCTTTACGTGTTGCATTGATTGAATGCATTGAAGTAATATGTTCCTGTTGCCCTCCAGATGTGTGGGTCAGTGTTGGCAGCCGTGGTGGGCCTGGTCGGGGCAAGCTATTGCTTCGTCGTTTCAGGTCTCGCCTTGATGCAGGGTCCACTGTGCTTCACTTCTCTCGGGTGGTCGTACCCCTTCGCAGATCAAGGAGGAAGGTAGCAAGATACTGCCTTTTATGACTTGGGTTAATACAGGGGTGCCCAACCAGCGATCGCGATTGACCGGTAGCCTGCGGACTGGTCCTGAGAGGTGAAGGGGGAAATGAAAAAGAAAAAAAAAGATTTGTGTGTCTGTGTGCGTGTTATTCATATTATATTTTTTTGTGTTATGTACAGTGCACCCTTAGCATCCTATTAGTTTTACTTGCACAAAAAAAGTATTTAATAAAATAAAATAAAATGAGAAAATAGGTCACCTTTAAGATGGCCCGTGACCTGCATCAGCAGACGTTTTGCAGCTTGCGATTGGAGCTGTTGCGATACAGTATATCTTTTTCTTATTATTATTCCTCCCATTCAAAGCTTGTTTCATCTGCAATCCGCTGATGACACTGGCAAAAAATGGGAAGCTGGAGTGACAGAAGAAGCATTTTAAAATGGTACACGTGAGCTACAATCGTTAACATGCTGCAAATGCGCATGCCATGCCTCCACCTTGGGTCTCCCACTAAGGTAGTCAATGATTTCCTTTTCCCAAACTCACAAACTCTTGTGTCGACTATACTTTTGACATAGTTTGGCAATGAACTGAATGGCGATCGGATCCCACAAATGTAGACGCAAACAAAATCCGTTCCAAATTTTTATATTTAATTACAAAAGCATACCGACAAAGTATAAACAGAAAGACCTGGTCAAAAAGAACCAGGAACAACAATACATTAAGAAAAAAGGTTACAAAGGCAAGGAAATAGTAAATCCCATTATATAAACGAACTGACCAGAGTCCAATTTCACAAAAAAAACAAAAAACAAAACATGAGCAAGATCAAAGACAATATAACAAATACTTTAAAGGGGAGAGACAAGAGAGCAAAACCGACAACGAGATAAAGATGTCTAGAAAACAAAATTTGAGCAAGAGCAGCACTGACCAATAATCCAACAGAGACATGGGGTCTTGGCAGTCCTTAAATACTTGGCTAACTTGATGACCAAAAAGGCAACAGGTGTGCACGCTGGAGGGAAGGCCCTCCTCTCCACCTGTTGCAGACACACAAGAACAGGAGCATGACAATATTTCTGTTGCGTGCGTGCGTATGTAAGCACGCATGCATATATCCATGCACATGCAGTAACGGGTCGATCAGGGGAGATTGGCTGCTTGAAAAGTAGATCTTCAGTCAAAAATGGTTGGGCACCCCTGGGCAAATATGGTTGTACTTAACTTAAAGTAACGGAGGTGATGCCATGACGACCTGTAATCATCAGCATAATGCACCTTATATTTGTTTGTCCTTATTAGCAACACTCTGGACTGGTCACCAGCCAGCCACAGGGCATGTAGATACCCACCAAACCTTACATTCACATCTCGGAGCAATTTCAAGTCTTCATTGATTCAGTTCATGTGTTTGTGGAAACAAGCTAGTGTGAATCCACTTTTAATCCAGAAACTCAGAACTGTGAGGCGGTGGTGTGAATCACTCGCCTCCACTCTACCGACATTTGAAACACACCACCAAATACTAATCTACCTGCAACCTTGTCCTATTGTATTTTAAAATAGAGGCACTTTCTTATGTATTTTTCAGGTTATGTTCCTGCATTTCTTTTGATTTTCTTTCCTAATTTTTGGTTTCAGGTATCTGCTGCAGTCAGCGACGTGGTCTCAGTGCCTACAGCCGCTCCACATTGTCGAGTGGAACGTGACTCTTCTGTGTGTGCTTTTGGGACTTGCTGTGCTAGAGTTCATCCTGTGCTTCTTACAACTGGCCAGCGGTGTAGTTAATGCCATCTGTCGGCCTTGTTGCTATAAGCAGGAGTATAATTTGAATGCTTAGACACTGGCACAACATTTACGTAAATAAATAAATATACACTTGCAAGTTGTACACACTGAAGGCCAAATGTCCACACAGTTGTCTACGGTGCAGCTTCATTATTGCATTCATTTTAAAGCACCTCACAGAATCATCACTGAGATTACACAATACATATTTGCCTTCCATGTTATCCATGAAATGTAAAATTGATAAAGGACTCAGAGGATGACAGTTTGAGGTATTGGGTTGGTTTAAAGTCTACCAACGCTCATACTTTGTGAAAAGGTGAAATAACGTAGCACTCTGAGACGTCGATTAAGAAGTCGACTCTGTGTCCTACTTCTCTCTGTTATTTTAATCGTATCATTCATTTTTCTAATCTCTTAATTTGGAGAGTTTCATCGGAACTGATGGGAGAAAATGAACACAATTCAAACATCAAACTCTTATTAGTTCATGAATAAACTTAAGATGCCGTTTACATGTTTTTGAAAGGCTGTCATGTATTTGTCAGTTTGACTTCAATGCGCCTACTTTTGGACAAGATTAATTATGATGTGGCAGGAGGTATTTGATCTATTCAATATTGTAGTGTTAGTTCACTACCACAAAATGTGTGTTTGTTGTTTGTACAATGGTTATATTTTTGAAGTATTTTGATGTGCCTATATCTTTGGCTGTTTGGCTCTTAAATTCAAATTAAATGCTATCTATCTATCGCTCTAGCTAGCTAGCTAGCAAGATTTTCGTGGCATATTTTTTATAATGTTTGTTTGTGCTGCCTTGAATAAAAAAATATTTTCATTTCAAGTGTGTATGTGGGCATATGTGGGCACCAACTGCTATGTTTCGTAATCAGTTTCTGGGTCAGACCTTGGGTTGAGGACTTTCCATGATTTCAAAATATAGAGCGACACTGTGATCTAAAACTGGGTTCACCAACCTTTTTGAAACTAAGAACTCCTTCTTGGCTACTGATTAATGTGGAGGGTGTTTGACAGTATGCACTTTTGAAATAAATTTGCTCAAACTGCCTTCATATGTTATAATTAATGATGATTGATATTCATTTCTGAGAAGATACTGATCACATGAGCGATTTATCGCAATAATTATGAAACAGACAAACATCAATTGGCCACACTTTATTATATTATATATATATATATATATATACGGTATATGCCAATGTTCACATTTTGAAATGATTGCTTCAACAATATTCCTGGAGAGTCACAGTGTCTAATCACCGGTAAGCTATTTTTTTGGGTTCCCGCGGGTTCCATGTTCGTGACCCCTGTTAACTCAGACGGTTTGGAAACTCTGAGTGTTATTCAGATTTGCCATTCGTTTAGAATAATGGCTACATTATTCAGAGTTCATCAATTTTGGATCAAGAAATAACCGTGAGATGCATGTTCATGAAATGGCAAAGTGCTGTTTCTGTAGAAGTTGAAGGTACAGCAAAGGTAAGACAGGGGAAGCATGAGTAATAAAAATAAACGATTTTCTTTTTTTTTTTTTTCCAAAACCACGAACAAGGAACACAGGAGAATCAAAATACCAAATTAACAAAGTCCCCAAAAAGATTCAAGGTAACAAAGCAACTTAAAGAACGAAAACAATCATCGACAGCCTTGTTTTTGTAGAACGCAAAGGACTGTCTGTGATGGTATGGCTGGAGGAACTGCGGTGCAAGGAGCTCGTCAACGTGGAGCTGAGTATCACAGAGGAGATGTGGAGAGGAACGAGTCAGCTCTCAAAAGTAAAGTGTAACGAGAGACAAGACTAAATGCGACTGGAGAATTGCACCATTCATTTTTGTATGTGTTATTCGCCAGCGACCGAACTTTGGGCTCTTTGAAAACTCCATTGCTTGTTTACTTTCAAATTTAGCTTGTAGCAAAAGTGAGTGATATCTGTGTTACCAGTGCCTTAATACTGGTTCGTGGAAATTTTTATCTCCCTCGCCTCTCATTTTCTAACAAAACGTGCAACACGAGGGAGTAAAACTCAGCACTTCCTCTATGCTAAGTGCCAAACTTAAGGGAACCATTGTGTATTTTTGATGGAGTAAAGGACTTTGTTCAGTTATGTCATGTTTTGTTTACAGCACTTTGGTACAGCCACAGTTGTTGTGAAAGCAATAAATAAATTTAAACTGAAAGAAATCAGCATGCTAAATGCCATCAACTTAAAGAGACAATGGAGGTGGATAACAGTGGCGGATGCTGGTCTGTCAAGGAGGGGAAGCTCATTTTCGGCCCATATCATAAAATGTGTCCGTTTATTTATACGTGAATTCTACTCTCCGTTCCTTTTCAAGAAAATGATCTGTGACCCTGTCATACTAACCAGACGTCTTTTCCAGAGAAACTGTGGTGATATAAATCAGTCTGCGAACACAAGCAACTACAATAAAACCCACCAGAAATGAAAGATTAATTTGTCGCTAGTCGTTTTCAACAACGAGAGTGTCGCTAAGACGATAAGAAGACGTCTCCAGTTCAACTCAGAACAGAATCAGAATTGAAAAATGCTTCCATGGATGCCTACACCAAAAGATCGGTGATTGGCTCATTTCGCTGTCAATCAAAACGAGATTCAGCCTCAGACACATCATCCAATCATGATGCAGAAAAGCTGAGCGTCCGGGTCAGCCCATAAATGCCAACTGTCCAAAGACTCCCAGAGACGCTGAGCGTCCGGTGGGCGGGACAAAACCAGCATTTATCCAATGACTCATCTTGTTTCAATGCTTTGGGACAACCTACTCCGAACTCTCGAGACAACCAAGGTCCGCGCAGTCGACGTCAGCGTCCACACAGTTTAAAGCACAGTGAAGCTGTGGGAATGAGTGAGAAGAGAGTCGCGTCGTAACCAGTAATAAGAAGTTGATTCTGAACAAAAATTGAGCGCGTTGTAGCGCATAATTAGTCAATGACATGTACACACAATTGTATGTACGCACATACCTGTATATGTGATCACTTATTTTTTTGACATTTTAGGGGAAGCTGAGCTTCCCTTGTAGTCTTAGAGCAATCGCCTCTGGTGGATAACACAAGTGGCTCGAGAGAACTGATTAATAGACACAAGAAACAGTGCTGACAACGAAGGTGAAGACAAAAGCCTAATGAGCAGACATGAGACAAGAGGAATGACTGTAAACACCTGGAAACAAGACAACATGAAAGAGATCATGATTGTCAGATGTATCAGGCAATCAGACCCTTAAGACAAATTTTAAAACACAAGAGAGACTAGTAGTCAAGCAGAGTTGTCTTTTACTTGTACACAAGGGGAGTGAACGATCGCCAAACAGCTCTGTATAAACTTCGCTCATCTCCGCCCTGTTTATTGTCTCAGGGAATGTCCCGCTATTATTCTTTTTTAACGTTTGTTTTACGTTTTTTTTACGGTTTACTGTCGTCATGGGAGAAACCCTCATCTCCTGTCACAATTCGTTGTGGTTTTGGACCGTCGGTCGTCGCACGGTTGTCTTCGGTCGCACTGTCGTGGCGTCCTGCCTGCGTTTCCCGGGCGTCACTCCTCGTCCTTCCCGGAGGTGCATCCGCTGTGGATCTCGTCGGGGCTTCCACCTCGATGGCTCCAGGGTCATCCCCTCCTCGGGTCGTTCTCCCGTCGGCCACAATGAGACAGCGGCAGAAATAGCGGCCAATCCGCGGACCACGGCGTGTTGGCCGGCCTGGCTGGGTCAGCTGGTGCTCCTTGTGGTGGCGATGTTGCCGGCGTCAACTATTTCGAGTCGCTAAATTCAGTTTAAATTCATCTCTCCTTTTATTATTTATAATTTTATCTGTGGTTTTATTGTTATTGTTTTGATTGTAAGGTGTCCTTGAGTGTTTTGAAAGGCGCTTATAAATGTAATGTATTATTATTATAATGTCCTGTCACACAAACTTCTGTGGGGTGGGGAAACACCCACAATGTATTCCTCGGTAATTGAAGTCATGCTGATGGTTGGTTTGTGATAGCAGCTGTAGATGCGTCACGGGCACACCATCCTGAGGCTGGGATCTTAATTTTAAGGCTGTGAACAGGAACAAGTTTGTCTCTTCAGCGTGATAAGATACTTCGATTGGATGCTTTGTACGTAAATGAGGTCCTTGCAGTGTCACACTAGTAAATTGATAATACATCTCAAAGCCGAGAGCGGTAAATTATCAACAATTACTCCTACAATAATGCAGTGATCAACAAAAACAGATTTCATGACATTTGGTTTAAACATAATCATAAAAAAAGCAGCAGCGAAGACAGCAAAAGATTTTCAGGTTAAACATTATTCAGGTCTTGTGTAAAGTGGACAGGGGGTCACGGCGGTTGTTGGTCAGTGAACCCTCTGATCATTATTGACCGTTACCAGCAGTCGCACAGTTGAGCAAGTATAAAGACAGAGTGGACAAAATGCCAATGAGACAGACTGACTGACTGTGGAAGTACTCTGTTAAAATGTCACGGTCGGTGTTTGTTTTATTTCTGCTGTGCTGTGCACCAGTATGCATTTCTGGATTGAGAAGAGAATATTTCCTCAAGATAGAGGAAGTTAATTGGAACTATGCACCGAGTGGGATGAACCTCATACAGAACCACACAATCCAGGAAGATGAGTAAGTCTTTACTTTTTCCATGATGTGTTTTTAACCCTGCGATTGAGTGGCAACCAGTTCAGGGTGTACCCCACTGTCAGAGTTAGCAATTAGACATTCATAAGTCCCAAGGAGGAGAGGAGACACTCGATTCTGGTACCAGGGGGGAATGGAGAGAAGCATTAGGTTTCGATTCTTTCACCCACAGATCTCACCGCTCGCTTTATTTCTCATTGGGAATCTGATACAGGGGTGTGTCCAACCTAAGGAGTGAGGGCCGTTGAAGACACGCACTGAACTTGTTTGACTATGTGTGTACATGTGACTAAAAATTACATCCAAGTGAGCAATCATTACAAAAACACCAAGTAAGCTGCAGCTGGTGTTGACAGCTCCATCCCCATTGCTATTGTTTGGTCTTATCACCTTATCTCTTTCCAACCACATTCTCAGAAAGGTAGTTGTGTCCCCTAACTATCACACAGTGCACTAAGCATTCTTTATTATAAATATGAGCATATATTTATCAAGCGCATAAGTGGATCTTTATTAACAGCATAAGCGTTTTTCATTGCAAGCATAATCAATTCACCATTATTAATGCAATGTATGATAACTAAAACTAAATTACATAATTATTCCTTCACCCGCCTACTGTCCGAAGACAGCTGGGACAGGCTCCAGCATGCCCCGCGAATGCTTGTGGGGATAAGCGGATCAGAAATTAAATGGATGATATTTTTAACCGTTAACATTGTGTTACCGTTGGCTCAGTCTGTACATTCTGCAATTAGACGATGGACCAAGTTGTGGGTGATTGAAGTCATGACCTTGGAAAGTGTAGTGGTCTACATAGCTGATTGCTGTGCAATTGGCATGAGATCACTTCCCACTCCACGTACCCATGACTGTCAATATTAGTGACAGCCTGACTGGGCCACGTGCTGGCCTAGATTTATATATGTACCACGTTTACAGTAAATATGGTGCAAGTAGTGATCAGAGCAAAAATCTCCTAATCAACACAGTTACACCCCCCGCTCTTTTTTCCCCCCCAAATACTTGAGCAATCAAAACATCTCGTCTGTCTCAATCAGTATGACCGTT